TCCAGCCAGTTTGTAATTATCTCCAAAATCCCAGGGCGATTCAGGTTTCCAGTAGGGGTGTGCTACGTGATGAGGGCAATGCATTTGTTTCATGTGGCATCAGTGGCATGGTGGATGGTGGGAACCCTTCCTGCGGACATCCACCCCAGCACTGCTAGTCAGGGTGCCAGGAGGAGTTGTGCTTCCGTGCCAATCACCTCTGAAGCAGCTTGAACTCCTTCATAGGCAGCCAAGATTAGGAAATCTCTTTTTCTCTGTGGGAGTGTAGTTGGCTTTGGACCCTCTGTAACTTCGGCTCCAGAATCCCAGTGGTCGGCCTCAAGTCTCTCCAGGCACCTTCTGCCAAAGGCTCCAGGGCAAGCCATAGTTCCCGGCTGCAGAGTAGAGCATGTTCTTCACCTCTGGTCCCATCCTGACCAGGCCAAGGGCTACTGCATAAGCAATCTCCTGTTTGATCTGGGCAAAGGCTTGTTGCTGTTCAGGGCCCCAGTGGAAATTGTTCTTCTTGCAGGTGACCAGGCAGAAAGGGCACACAATTTGGCTGTGCTCAGGAATGTCCATTCTCCAAAAACCTATGGTGCCTAGGAAAGCTTGTGTTTCCTTCTTGCTGCTTGGTAGAGACATTGCTGTGATCTTGTTGATGACCTCAGTGGGAATCTGACGCCATCCATCTTGCCAATTTACCCCAAGGAACTGGATCTCTCAGGCAGGTCCCTTGACTTCGCTCTTCTTGATGGCTGTCCTGGTTTAGGGCAAATTTGGGAGAAAACCTCCAAAGGGGTTCCCCTAGAAAGCAGATTCAAACAGCTCTTCCCCCAGCTGGTTTGGGAAAATATTTCCTTGGAGAAAAGCGGAAAAAACCTGTTTATTTAACAGGCAAAGCATTCTCCTGCACAAAAAAAAAAATAACATTAAACAATAAAACCTCTTGCTCCTCTGAAGAGATGACCAAATCAGAAAGTCCCCATCTGCAGTAGGACTCCTGAAAGTGGAAGAGCAGCAAGCACCAACTGCCACCTCAACAGTGCCCCACTGGCTTCTGTTTCTTTCTAATAGCAAAGTTAGATCAGGACCAGTCCATGCACCACCATGTTGGGTTGGGTAGGTCAAGGTGGGTCACTCATGCTGGGCGACATTGATCTTTTGCATGGGATTGTGCTGAATACATCATTCATTTTGGGTTGTGTTGGGCCAGTTAGGTTGGGTCATTCCTGTCAGGCTAGATTGAGGTGGGTTTTTCATGTTGGATTACGTTGAACCTTCATGTTATGTTGGGTCATTCATGTTGGTTTTGGCCATTTGTGTTGGGTTGGGACATTCATGTTGGTTTGGAGCATTCGTGTTGGGTTGGGTAATTCATGCTCGGTTGGGCCATTTGTGTTGGGTTGGAGCATTCATGTTGGGTTGGGTCATTTGTGTTGGGTTGGGGCATTCATGTTGGGTTGGGTCACTCATGTTGGGTTGGGGCATCCATGTTGGCTTCCGCTGGATTGGTTGGGTTGGGTTTTGATGGATCATTCATGTCAGGCAGGGGTGAGGTGGGTCATTCATTAAACTGTTCCAACAGCCACAACGATATTTTTCAGAGCTTTTGCCCTACAAACTATTTCCAGGAACATCTCCTTGGCTCAGCCACCCTTGGTTCCTGCTGCTTTTGTGGAAATTGCCACAAGATTTCCTGGAAAACATGAATTCCCTGTCCTAACCTTGTCCAGAAATATCCCCCACACGTAGAGAGAAACCTCCATGTGCCTGCACGTCATCCAAAGCTCTGCTTGACATCAGCACCACCAAGGCCACTTCCAAGAAATCCTGGGGTGGGGAAGGGGGACGGATTTCTTGCACGACTCCACGGAGCAGGCCCAGGGGAGGATGCACCTGTAGGATCTGGAGTCTTTTTCCTCTGCGCGTGGCCACGGGAGCCCCTTGGTGTGAGAGCAGCTGGCAGGGCCTGGCAGGGCCTTTCCCAGGCACAGGGCTAATTCCGTATCCCCTGCCGGATGCGGGATCTCGTCACCAGCACCCTCTGGAGAAGGGAAGAGCATTGTGTGGGCTGTTGCTTTTTTTAAAGCCGTTTGTGACCTCGGGAGCAGGGTTTGAGTGAGGAAGGAGGGGACAAGGGGGAGGGCAGAAAATTCCCAGATCCCAGCTCTCCCTGGGAAATCCCCAGAAAGTTCCCAGGCACTTTCTTTCCCAGCACATGCGTTCCTACGTGCTGAGGCCAAGCAGCAGGTGCATCCCAGAGTGCTGGGCTCCTGGGGGGCACGTGGGCCTCCTCCAAGAGGACCCCAGCACTGCCTGTCCCTGTCCCAGGGGACCCTGTGGGGCACAGGAGTGACCACAAATCCCATTGAGCTCCAGAGACCCCCATGCTCCACACTCGAGGAGAAACAACCCCGTGAGCTCAACCCAGGGGCCACTCCAGTGCTGCTGCACTGCCCATCCCAAGGCAGCCAGTGGGGCACCACGGAAGGGGGATCCCCCTCCCCAGAGCCCCCAGAGCTCCCAGCCCAGCCCTTCAGCTCAGGCACGCTTGGATCCTGTGTGCTCGCATCCATCACTTCCATCGGGAACACGCCTGGATCCCCAGTGAGTCCCTGCTCGTCCGAGGGGCTGTGCCCGGGCACGGAGGGAGCAGGGCCCGGGCTTCCTGCCAGGAAGGACCGAGGGACAGGCGACAGGCGCTGCCCGAGCACGAGGAGCACGAGGGCGCTCATCGCATCCGCTGCCTCCTCCCGGGAGCCGGTACCGGGACAAGATCGCACCCCGGGAAAGGCCTGTGACAAATTCTCATGGAGGCCAGGATGCCTTTGCCGTGAGCTCACCCAGTGACTAACTTGTTTATCTCCCGCGGGAGCTGCACCGAGGTTTTGGGAAGCAGCAGATCCCCGACAGCTCCTCTGCCTGTTCCAGGCGCCGCCCCCACCCCTTTCCTGAAAAACACTCGGAAATCAGGAATCCGCGGTGGCACCAGCGCGTCCCCTCGCTGCCAGGACAGCGACAGCGAGCGACTGCTCTGCCCCCATACCCATGGGCAGGGAACCTGGAAAGAATCAGAACACCTGGATCTTGGAAAACCAGGCGTGGAAATTCCAGCACAGCCCTGGGGAATATCTGCAGTGCTTCGCTGGGGCGGTTTGGTTGCACAGGTACCGGGCAGGCGCCGCTGAGACCTCATCCTGCCCCATTCCCTGCCCAGGGAGGCACCAGCACGGTCAAGCACAGAGCGGGATGTCCCTAGAATGTCCCTGGGATGTCCCCTCTTCCAGGCCAGTTTAGATGCGGCTTGGAGGAACCTGGGATAGTGGAAGGTGTCTCTGCCCATGGCAGGGAGTTGGAACGGGATGAGCTTTAGGGTTTCTTCCAACCCAAACCATTCTGGAATTGTCTGTGTCTGACAGGTTCATCCTAATCCCCAGGTAACCACTCCCAGTGCTCCTGTGTCACCTCGTGTCATCTATTCTCCCCAGTGCCACCTGCCGCTCCCCGTGCCGCGTCTGGAGCTTTTTCTGATCCACCAGCTCAGTCCCTGCGAGTGCTTCGTGCTGCAGAGCAACCCGGAGCTCCAGGGACCGGAGCCACTGCCCCGAGGGTCCCGGCGGGTCCTCCCCGCGCTGCTCCGGGGCATCTCCGGGGCTGGGAACGCCCTCCAGAGGCGGCGGGAGGGCAGGGTCGGGCGGGCTGCGGGGCCGGGGTGGTGGAAGGGGCCGAGGGGCGGCGGGGGTGATGGAAGGGGCCGAGGGGCGGCCGTCGCCACGGCCGGGCCAAGGCAGCCCTCCAGCTGCCTGCCCGGCGCGCACGCCGATTTGGATGAAAATCAGCGCTTAGTAACCCAAAAGGTGATGTGTGTATCCCCGGCACCGCACCGGCTGCAGCGGGGAAGGACGGGGACAGGGACGGGAAAAGGGAGGACAGTGACGGGGAAGGGGTGGGCAGGGACAGGGACGGGACAGAGATGGTAGCAGGGAAATGGGCAGGGACTGGGTGGGACAGGGAAGGGGCAAGGCAGTGGCAGGGACAGGGACGGGTACGGGGACAGGGATGGGGCAAGGCAGGGACAGGGACGGGTACGGGGACGGGGATGGGGCAAGGCAGTGACAAGGACAGGGACAGGGACGGGGACGGGCACAGGGACGGGGCAGCGCCGCGCCTCTCGCTGTCCATGTGCCCGCCTGCCCGCCAGGGGGCAGCACTCCGCAGCACCGCTCCGTGCCCGAGCCCGTCACGGCCGGCGCTGTCCGCGGGCTGGCGGCACCCGCGCGTCCCCGTGAGGCGTGCGCCGCGCTCCATCCCCTTCCCCGAACTCCGTGCCGCCTGCGGCGCTTCGTCCCACGGCCTCCGGACCGGAGCGGCCGCCGGAGCCGCGGCGTCTCCCGGGGCGGCCCCGTCCTGTCCCGGTCCGGTCCCGCTTGCCGCCGACCCCGTCCCGCCGCGGCTCTATGGTTTGCGGGCGCTCTGCCCCGCGTGTCTCTATGGCGGTGGCGGCCCCGCCCCGGGGCGGCCTGAGGCGGCCCCGGCCCCGCTCCCGACCTGGCCCCGCCGCCGCCTGCGGGCTCTGGGGCCCGGCGACGCCGCTCCGAGGCACCGGGGCCGCGCCGGGACAACGGGGAGCGGCCGAGGTGGGTCGGGGTCGCGGTGTCCCCCGGTCCCCTGAGCTCGGAGCGGGGCTGGTCCTGCCCGCGGCGTTCGGGGGCTGCGCTTGGGCCCCCTCGGAGAGGGACCCGTTTGCAGCGTCGCTTTTTTCCTTGTTTTTTCCTCTTTCCAGGGTCACCCACACGCCGCTTCCCTCGGGCAGGAGTGGCCGATGTGGGAAAGCTCCGAGCGGCGCTTTCGGCCTGGTGGGCGCAGGGAGGCGGAGGCGGGGGAAGGAGCGGCGGAGAGCCCGGGGCAGCGGCGCTGACCCTGCGGAACCCCCTCGGCTGAGGCCCTCAGCTGAACCCCTCGGCTGAGCCCCTCCGCCTCAGCCTCTCCGCCATCCCTTCAGCATCCCGAGCCCGCCCGAACCTCGCTCCGCCGTCCCGCAGCTCCGCCCGCCGTTCCAGGGTCCCAGGTAATGCCAGCCCCGGGCTCACACGGGAATTACGGTCCCAGCGAAAGGGAATGAGAGGCTGCAGCTCGTGGGCAGAGCTGTTTTCCATCATTCCCTGGAAAAACACAGCCCCACCCTGCCCGAGAGAGCTGCCTGGCTCCTCTTTGCCCGGGCAGGACTCAGAGCATGGAGTGATTTAGCAATAGGAGTTTATTGGAGTAACTCCTCTGGGGGGTTCTGCCATCAGGGCTGGGTGCTTTGCTGGAAAAACAACAGAATTAGAACTTGTTTCTGTTGAGCTGTGTGGCCTGGGAAGGCTTTGCTTGGGAGAAATGCAAACAGGAGGGTGGAATAGGTTCTGGGAATGGGGCCTGCCATCAGGTGGTCAGTGTGAAACGTGGGGTGAGCAGATAATTCCCTTTGCTTCCAGGAAAATGAAGTAGCTGTGAAGCTGGCAGTGCCTGGGATGTCTTTATTAGCTCCTTAATTTCATTGAAATCCCATGTGGGGAAGGGCTGGAAGAGGAATCTGGTTTCTGACAGCTGAGATCTGATGGAGTTGTCTGCAGGGTGAGGGCAGGAGCTCAGCAGGGAACAGCCAGTCTGCTTTTTGTCTCTGTGGTAATTAATTGTAATTAACCGAGTCAGCTCAGGCTGTTAAACTCTGCCTGTGTCCTGTCCAAGAGGTGCTGCCATCCTGGGGGATCTGGTTTGTCACCTGGGCTTGTGCTCTTGGCTGCTCTGGCTCTGGCAGAGCCCTCAGGGCAGCTCAGCCTTTGCAGAATTTCTCTTTTTCTTGGTGTTCCTTCACTGCAGAGAGAACTGTCAGGTTAAAGGATCCCAGAGGATCAGAAGCCAAATTCCTTTCCCGCACTTTGGACTGTTGTGCTTCTGACAGCTCCCTGTTCCATATGGAACAGAGACCTTGGTTCCAGTCAGGTGCTTCCAGGAGTAAAACCTGAATGAGTGTGAGCAGCTGAATGTTTGAGGTGTTTTTCATAGAAAACACTTTTTTTTGTTTTTTCGGAGGAGCTGGACAAACAGGCTGGAAGGGCTGGAGCAGGGCAGGGAGGGCAGCAGGGTCATCCCATGCCCTGGAGGGTTTGGCTAAAAGCTGGTGAAAGCCTCCAGGTGTGTGGGTTTCTCCTTTCTTAGGTGTTCCCATTGCTGAAACTATTTGGTCACTCATTTTTTCACCATTTCCTTTGCCCTGAATGGGGACTGTGGCTTTTTCTCAGAGAGGTTAAACCCAGTTTTGTGTCCTTTAAATGTTTCTTGTGAGACAAACTGCAGTGTTAGGGTTGAGGTTAAACTCTGTGATTCCCAGCCTTCCTTTCTACTCCTTCCACAGCATCTCCTGTCCTTTCTCTCCAAAGACTGACGGGAATTCCTCGAATCACAATAGATTTGAGATTTCTGCTTTTCCCTCCAGCACTGTTCTCTCCTTCACCCTGTGGGTCCTGTGTCACCCACCATGTGTGCTTATGCACTGAGCATTTAATTTCTGCTCCCTCCTGCCCTTTCCCTTTGAATTCTGAGGGAAATCTTGTCTGGAATTCTCTCATTTCACTGCTGCCCATGTGTATGGACCACTTAAAGCATAAAGGTGAGGTAGCAGGAGGTGCAGGAAGAGAGTTTGCTGTTCATGTAGCTCATCCAGCTGTTAGCTCTGATGAAACAACAAAGATTATAAATCCTCCTTAATCATACAGATTTTTGGGGGTTTAATGCCTCTTAGTTTTAGTATGTCTTGGAAAGATTGAATTTAAGGCTCTCACTGAGCTGCCTGTGGTGTTTTCTTCCAGGAGGAGCAACACGAGATCTCCCTGATTAAGTTTAATTATCTGGGTCACTTCCCATTACCTGTGTTAATTTCCTTCTCAGTTTTGATATTGGGAGAGGAAGAGATCAAAGAAATGTGTGTGTAAGGATCAAACTAAGGCTGGAGGTGGCCCAGGCACAGGCCATGCGCTGATGGATTTGTGGGTGAGCCTTTTCCTGGCATTTTGGGTCCTGGGTGTGTGTGCAGGCAGGATTTCTTGTTTAGATTCCTTGTTTTCTACCCCTCACTGGGATAGTGGATCCAAAAGCCAAACTGGACAGACTTTCCCTCTCTCAGATAAGCTTTGTGAGTTGTTGGTTCAGGGATTTAACTAATTTCTTTAAGATTTTAAAGCTGATAAAAATCAGGGGCAGCTGCTGGGTTTTGTAGCTGTAGGTTTTCTTCTCTTGGTTATGAGATTTGTGTGTCAGGTGAGGCTCATTCCTCTTCCTGTAGCAGATTTTCAGAGCTGGGCAGCAGGAACAGGAACTGGATATCTTGGAAAGGGAGGCTGGAGTGAGGGAGTTTGGTCTCTTCTCCCAGGTAACAAGGGATAGGACAAGAGAAAACACCTTCAAGCTGTGCCAGAGGAGATTTAGACTGAATGTTGGGGAAATTTCTCGTGGAAAGGGCTCCGTGGCTGAAGTGTGTCAGTGTGCCTTCATCTCAAAGCTTCTCTTCAAAAGCATTCCCACTTTTTCTCCCTAGGGATGTCTGCATTCTTTTATCCCTGCTTAACAAGTTGCTGCTGGGAATGTGGCACCTCTGTGGATTTGGTTGTTATCAGCAGCTTTTGAGGTCTCTGCAGAGCAGCAGCAGTTTGGACAGCCAGAGCTCCAGTGCCTGGACTCTCCAGATAAGAAAATGAAGGAAAATCAGAAGTCTAGGATAAGAAATGCTTTCTGAGCCTGTGTCTTATCCAGAGAGACCACATTTCAGTGCACTTCAAAGTGCTGTTAAAATCCTGCTGGGTTTAGACCTGGCCCCCAGAAATTCACAAACATGACAGGCATTTAGACTAAGGAATCATCTCTTAAAACTTGTCAGGTTTTTGCCCTTGCTCTTTGCACTGAAGAGTTGTTACAAATTTCCCTTGGAGAAATCGCCTTCTAACCTCTATCCTAAAATTAATCACAGTGGTTTCTCCTTCGTGCCAGCTGTGTCCTTCACCAGCAGCAGAGATCTTCCTCCTCCTCCTCATTGTTTTGCCTGCTTTTCTAGAACTGGCCTAATTACCAGATTCCTCTGTTATTGCTTCCCTAACCAAGGTCACTTTGCTTCCCCGATTGCTGCAGTTCCATCCAGGAACAGTGAATTCAAACTGGGAATGCTGGAGGGGGGACAAGACCTTCAGAGATGAGGCTTTGCCACTGTTTTGCACAAGATGAGGCTTTGCCACTGTTTTGCATGTTGAACACAGCTGTCTCTCCTGGATTGGCTTTGCCTGGTAAATCACAGAATCATGGAATGGTTTGGGTTGGAAGGGACCTTAAAGCTCATCCCATTCTACCCCCTGCCATGGGCAGGGACACCTTCCATGAGCCCAAGTGGCTCCAAGCCCCAGTGTCCAACGTGGTCTTGGACACTGCCAGGGATCCAGGGGCAGCCACCACTTCTCTGGGCACCCTGTGCCAGGGCCTGCCCACCCTCACAGGATCCTGGTATGTCCTTTGTGTCTCCCCAGGGCTGTGTCCTATTGGGGTTTAGGACGGAGTGCCACATCCAAGTCCCCTTGTCACCTCTCTGCTGACTGGCAGGATGTGGTGCCAGAGGCTGGCGTGGCTGCTCCGGGGCCGGCGTGGGAGCACTGGACATCGCTGGCCGGGGCTGCCCCGGGGCCCTGGGCCTGTCCTGGCTGTCCCTGCACGCTGCCACCCCACGGCCCCAGCGTCCCCCTGCTGTGCCTGGCAGCTGCACCAAGACCATCTCGGTAGGTGTGCTAGGGGAGGGTGCTCCTGCTGTGCCCGGGGACAGCAGGGAGGGATTCCCCCTTGTTCCCTGGAATGATGTGTGCTTTCCTTCTGAAATAGCCTGCAACAGAGGGATGCACACTGGGGGCTGTTTCATGTTCCCTGCTGGAGTTCCCAAAGGGTGGAGCAGCCTTGTCTTCTATGATAAGTGAGGCACTGCTAAATAAGTAATCAGATCCAGGGATTCCTGAACAAAAACTGTCTGAGCGTGCCCTGTCAGGCACCATTTTCTGTGCCATGCTCAGGCTTTCCCTGGCACAGCCCCCTCGGCTCTGGTGTGTGCCCACCTCTGCTGCCCAGCCTTGTTCAGGGTTGGCAGCTGAGGCCAGTGGGATCTCAGTACTCCGAGTCACTTGCAAGCAAAGGGAATTGCTCAGCATTTTACACAGTGGCTCCAAAGCAAAGGAGCCAGGCCTTTGATAAGATCCTCTGCCAGGTCTTCCTCTTGTGACAATTTATGTCAAGGGATACCACTGCATCCCCTGTAACTGGGATGACACGGTGTGGGCTCTGGGCTTCAATTCTTGGCTTTGTTTGTCCTCCCTGTTGCCCCAAAGCCTCCTCTGCTCCCCTCCCTGGCAGAGCTGAGGTACGGCAGCACCGTGATGCGCCTGGATTTCGTGTGGCTGCGGGACCACTGCCGCTCCGCCTCCTGCTACAACGCCAAGACCAGCCAGCGCAGCCTGGACACGGCCAGCGTGGACCTGGCCATCCAGCCCCAGGCCGTGCGGGTGGACGAGACCACACTCTTCCTCACCTGTGAGTCCTGAGCACCTGTGCCCTCCTGTGCCCTCCTGATGGACAGCATTACCCCCAGGTCTGCCTGGCTGGGAAGACACTGAGCCGTGAGCAGGTTTTAGACACTGCTGTCACTGTAAACACAGCTCTGCATCACAGTGGTGTGGGTTTCCTGCCCCCAGCCCTTCTTGTATGTATGCAGTGCCTGGGTTGGTCAAACTCCCCCAGCAGTGCAGGTGGTGAACAGATGGGGCATGGCATGGTTGCTTCTCTTTTCCTTCCCTGTTCTGTGTGAGCAGCTGTCAGCCCTGCTCACCATGCCTGTTCTCTGTCCTTTCTCCTCACTTTCCCAGCTGCTTTCTTCCTTTTATTTGAGGGCTTGACTTCAGGGCTTTGGTTGTCCTTGGACGCCTGTCAACAAAAGCCAAAACCACTGCAGATGCAGCATTTAGCTGGGAATTTGGAGAGGGTTTCAGCAGCTGCCCTGAATTTGGAGTTGTGGCAGCAATGATAACACCTTTAGGACTTGTGGCCTTTCAGGTCATATTTCGGGTGGCAGCAGGGTGCAAAGGACCCATCCCCAGACAGGTGACAAGGGTGAGGCCTGTCCTGGGCTGACAGGTGCCACGATGTCGGGCTGGCCAGTGGGGTTTTGGTGACTCTGCCCTTGTCCCTGTGCCAGGGCCGGATGGACACGTGACACGGTACGGGCTGGAGTGGCTGGCGAGGAACAGCTACGAGGGGCAGAAGCAGCAGGTCATGCACCCCCGCATCCTCTGGAATGCTGAGATCTACCAGCAAGCCCAGGTCCCCTCCACCGACTGCCGGAGCTTCCTGGAGACAGACGAGGGTCTGAAGGAATTCCTGCAGAACTTCTTGTTGTACGGGATTGCTTTCGTGGAGAATGTCCCTCCCACCAAAGAAGACACAGAAATCTTGGCAAAGAGGATCAGCATAATCAGGTATCTGGGCTATCCTGGGATGGATAAACTTGTTTTCTTTCTGTTTGGAAAGCTGCTGCCTCCTTGTCCTGTGTTTTGTGTGGCATGGCCTGGTTTGCAGACAAATGCTCTGGCTGCTCCCCTGGACTGGGATGGAAGATCCTATTGTGGGATCCACTCTTCTTTGTGGAAGAGCTGTGAATCACTCAGCTATTGAGCTGCCCCTAGATCATCCCATGACTTTTGTGACAGTGGGACTGTGCAGAGAGGAGAGACTGAAGGAAGTGGCTGGCTGGGAAGAGCAGGGCTTTGCAAGGAGAGACATTTCCTGTTATGACTTGAGGGGTCGTGAGGGCAGCCTGGCCCTGGGAGCCAGGGAGATCAAAGACCAGTTGGAGCTCTTGCTGGAGAAAAACAGTGAGAGGTGTTGGTGCTGGGTTTGTGTAAAGCACTGCCAGCATGGTATGCCAGGGGCTGGACTCAGGGCTTTATCCAAGCTGTAGAAACAATTTGATTTGCCTGGGAAAAGAGGAATCCCTGTTAATGAACAATCACTCCAAATGGAAACAATGAGCTCCAGGGAATATCCAGCCAGCTTTTGTCTCCAGGCACCCTCCCCCTGTAGCCCCTGAGTGCTGTGTGGCCTTGCCTGGTGTCCCTTCCCTCCTGTGCGTGTTGGAGGAGGATACTGGGAAGAAGAAATGGAATTATTGGGCAACCCTGTGTGGATACAAGTAAGGGCTGGCTGCACTTAGGCACCTCCTTGTGTCACTTCCATGACTGGGGATGATGGTTGGTATGGAAACATCAGTGGTTGTGGAGGGGAAGACTCATCATTACCAGACTTCTGGGGAGGAAAGAGAGGAGCTGAACACCAGAAGAGGGATTAGAAGCACCATCCCTGACAATCTGAATTTTGTGAAGTTGTTCTGCTTTAATGACTCTGGGCGTGGGACAGAGGGGAATAACTCAAATGTAGGGGGGGATGTGCCTTACCCAGACAGTGACCTATGATAACTGCCCATCTCTTTTCCAGGGAGACCATTTATGGCAGGATGTGGTACTTCACCTCTGACTTCTCCCGGGGAGACACAGCCTACACCAAGCTGGCCCTGGACCGGCACACAGACACCACCTACTTCCAGGAGCCCTGTGGGTACGTGCTGCTGCAGGGACACCTTCCACCCTCCCAGGCTGCTCAAAGCCCCATCCAGCCTGTCCTTGGATGCTTCCAGGAATGGAGCAGCCACAGCCTCTTTGGGTTTGGGTTTTGGGTGACACAGCCTTCATCCTGCAGCTCCTGAAGTGCCCAGACTCGTGTCACTAGGTTTGGGATGCAGCATAGGCAGTTTGCTGCCTCCTCACCCAGCAGAACATGTGGGATTGGGTGTGGAGAAGCAGCAGGGACGGGTGGTGCATCCATCCACACCTGGCTGTGTCCTCGGGGAGCACTTGGTGCCCAGGGGATAGGCAGCCAAGGTCACTGCTCTCGGATTCTGTCTCCCTGCAGCATCCAGGTGTTCCACTGCCTGAAGCACGAGGGCACGGGCGGGCGGACGCTGCTGGTGGACGGGTTCCACGCGGCCGAGCAGGTGCTGCACCAGGCCCCAGAGCACTTTGAGCTGCTGGCCAAGGTGCCCCTCAAACACGAGTACGTGGAGAACGTGGGCGGCTGCCACAACCACATGATCGGAGTGGGGCCGGTGCTCAACGTCTACCCCTGGAACAACGAGCTTTACCTCATCAGGTAATGGCCAGGAGGCCTCTGGGGAGGAGAGGGGCATTGTGGTGGTGGTTTTCCAGAACGTTCCATGGGCTGAAAAGCAGTGTATCTTTGATGAGCAGGGATGAAACCACAGGAACACCCTGTATTCCTCCCGCTTTAGAGGAAGCATCAGCACCACTGACACAAAGATGGGTGTCAGTGCTGAACTTTGATTTTTTACTCCTGGTATTCTCCCTTCAGCTCCGAGCTCTCATCTCATTCTATGTGAGATGCAGAAAAATTCAGCCCTTCTCTGGAGAAGTCTCTAGAAACTATCCTGGCACACAGGGAACAGGGAGAGTGCAGAGTGATCCCTTCCAAAGAGAACTTGAACTGATTTTTGAAACTCCAGTTTGCCTCAGTTCTAGAGGTTGTCTGGCACTGCTTTGCACTTTTATTCTAAGCAGCTCTCAGTCTTGCCATGTCCTTCCATGGAAAGCCAGGAAGAACAGGTGTACACTTGATGGCAAACTTCTCTTGCCCTCAGTGCTGTGTTCCCAAAGTTCTGCCCTGGCAGCACAACCTCTCTGGTCACCTCTGCAGCCTCCCTTAAATACCCACTCATCCCACAGGCTCCTGAGGTTCCCTTGGGAGCACCTGGAGCCCTGTTGGGCAATCTCTTGTCTCTCCTCTCCCTGCAGGTACAACAACTACGACCGTGCCGTGATCAACACGGTGCCCCATGACGTGGTGCGCCGCTGGTACCACGCGCACCGCGCCCTCACGGCCGAGCTGCGCCGGCCCCACAACGAGCTCTGGGTCAAGCTGAAGCCAGGCAAGGTGGGACCTGGAGCTGCATCCTCCAGCACTGGTCAGGGTGGGACTGGGAGCTGAATCCCGCGGGTTTGGCACAGGGAGAAGGGCAGGATGCTCCGTGGGTGTGCCGGTGTCTGGGCACTGCCATACCCAGCAGTTTTCCTCGTTCTGGGTGCTCCAGTGTTAACAGTGGTGGCTTCTGCATGTTTTTCTGCTGTCCTAAAGCAGTATGAGCTCCCAGGTGAGGCAGACATGTTTAGTTCAAGCTCTGCCGCAGAGGAAAGTTAGTCTCAGTTTCCAGCCACTGAAATGAGAATCCTCAGGAGCGGAGAGGCCAGAACACTTAGTGTTCAGGCTTTCACTTCTTCCAGAAGAAATTACAGTTCTGAGGTTATGTTTGAGCCCTTACATGGGTAAGTGACACCACAGAGGCAGGTGGCTGGGGCTACCCCATCCCTGGAAGTGTTCAAATCCAGGTTCCATGGGGCTTGGACCAGCCTGGGATAGTGGAAGGTGTCCCTGCCCATGGCAGAGAGTGGAACAAGATGGGCTTTAAGGGTCCTTCCAACCCAAGGATTCTGGGATTCAGTGATAAGTTGGCCACTGTCTATTGCTGATGAACTGTTTCCTCTCCAGCAGAAAGGCAAAGAAACCCCAAAATGTGTTTCTAGGCTGGCTCCATAAAGAGCTGGTGAAAGAGCTGTGCTGGATCCTGTGGAACAGCTGGCTGTAGCCTCACCTGTGCCAGTGTGGAACAGGAGGCTCCTGCCCACTGTGGTGCACCCTTACCTGCTCTTCCAGTGTCCAGGGATCCCCAGGACCTGCCCTGCCAGAGGCTCCTGGCCCTGCCTGCTGTGGTTGCTGTCCTCCTGATGACCTTTTCCCTTTCCTGCAGGTCCTGTTTGTGGATAACTGGCGTGTCCTGCACGGCCGGGAGGCTTTCACCGGCTACCGGCAGCTCTGTGGGTGTTACCTGACGAGGGATGACGTGCTGAACACTGCCCGCCTGCTGGGGCTGCAGGCCTAGCCCGGCCTCCAGAGAGCCAGGCAGCCCCAGCCCCACCTCTGGGAGAGGCAGGACCCTCCCAGTGCCACTGCCAGGAGAGGCAGCCCCCAGACTCACCTCTGCGAGTTGCTGGCAGCCCCCAGTCCCACTTTTGGGAGAGGCCAGAGCCCCTCAGTGCCAGCCCTGGGAGAGGCAGGAGCCCCCAGCCCCACCAGCCCCACTCCACACCAGGCCAGCTGGGCTGGTGCCTCCCCAGGTGCTCCAGGCCCTCTGTGACACTGCAATACCTCAGGCACCTCCACCCTCTCCAAGCAGCTCCCAGGGCCTGCTCAGGCCAGGGGGCAGGTGGAAACCAAAGGTTGTGGTACCATTTTTTGGGATCACACTCTGCCTTTGAGCACAGGCAGCTCTTGCTGTCCGTGCTCCCAGCCTGGCCCTCCCAGCCAGAGTGGCTCAGTTGTGGTTAATCCCACCACAGTAAGTGCTCCTCCAAGCAAGTGCCTTCAGGGTTCACTGTTCGGCCTTTTTTTCCAGCTGCCAGTTTTAGGGGACTTTTAGCAGAGCAGAATGGAAATCTCTGGGATCTTGTCTCTTATCACTGATGAAGCAGCCAAGTTGCCTGAGAGAGGGCCTGGAGAGATCCTGGTGTGCTTTGAGCATTTCTGAGAAGGTTTAGGTTAGAGAAGGAAGAGGGAAGCACCAAGATGTTCATGTTGTGAAGCAGAGATGACAATGTTACATGAGGGATGGAATTCCCACTTTTCCTGGACTTCCAGGACTGCCATGCTGCTGTTCCCTCTGCCAGGTGCACTGCACTTGTGTTGAGGGCAACACTCAGCAGCCCCAGGATTTCTGATAAATTTCCCACCGTGCCTCCTCTTCCATCCTTTCTTAAGGAATTGGTGTTAGGTCATCATCATACTCTCTAGTACATGAAACTCACTCTTTGGGTGTATTTTTTCCCAAAATTCTCCTCCTCTGAATGTAACTCAGAGGTGCCTTTCAGCTCCTGGGATCTGGCAGGCTGAAGTGCCACAGGGTAAGGAACAAAAGCCAATCCTGCTGTTAGACATTTTTCATTCTGCCATATCTTTTGGGGTGTTCCCTCTGCTCTGACCAGACCCTAAAGCCGGGCTGGGCCCCTTCACCCCTGGCTGTGCTGTGTGAGGTGCTCTGTCCTCAGGGCAGGGGCAGTGCAGGTGTACTGCTCTTGTTTAATTCCAAACACTGAATGTAGAGATCGTGGTGCCAAGACAGTCCTGAAATCTGCTCTTGCTGTGGGCTGAGCTCCCTGATGCTCCCAGTGCTCCCTCCCCAGAGCTTCCCATCCCCAGTGAGCCCCTGGAGTCAGCAGGGATCAGAGGGATTTCCAAGCCCAGGCTGGGCAGGTGGTGCCAGGGGAGCTGCCCTCTGTCAGGTGAAGCTCCAATGGCAGCCTTGGGTCCTGGTAGGACCAATTTCAAAACTCAGCAGGAAAATTAAGCCCCCTCCAGCCAACCCCTTTCCATAATGGAAGAAAAACCACTCTTAAGTTCTGAGTTGGAGTCACAATTTACTGAAGAAATTGCAATAATCACAATGATGCTAATAAAAGATTGTATGAAATGAGAATGGTTTGCCCACAGAAAGGGTATTTGCCATCAGAAAGTGCCACCAGTCCCCTGGGACAAAGGTGAGAGGTGGCAGTGGTGCGGCCAGGTGGCGGCAGTGGGGAGACTCTGGAGTGAGCCCAGCAAAAGAAGGAGAATCTCTCCTCTTCCACCTCCAGTTCTGGAAGGGGACAAAGCCACTCCCTTCCCCAGCCAAGGAAAGGACAAAAGGTTCTGCTCGCAGTGTCTGAGCATTCCCGGCTGGAAGTCGCCCCCTCCAGCGGCGGGGACAGCGAGCGGGACCCTGGGGCTGGGCTGAGGCAGCCCCGGCATCCCGCACCCCCTCCCGCGCCCCGTGCCGCTGCACCGGCCTCTCGCTGGCCACACGATGGCACAAGATGCCAGAAGTTCGTGTTTCAAAGTCCCAAAGTCCCATCCCGGGCGGGCTCGGGGCCCCGGCGGTGCCGCTGCTGTCTCTCCATCCCTCAGGAGAGGCCCAGGAATTGCTGTTCAGAGTCCCTGTGGCTGTGAGCGGTTTTTAGGAGCTGTGGGATGTGGTGCCCGCCGTACCAAAGGGTGGCTCAGAGGGCCGGGATGGTGTGAGAGAATTGGAGATGTCGCTCTGGGGGACCCTGGGGCTGCTCTGAAGGCAGGCGGGGCCAGCGCAGCGCAGGGAACCCGGAGGGAGGCTGGAGCTGTTGCTGTATCCCGGGATCCTCCGTCCCCATGTGCACATTCCAGGGCCCCGCATGGGTCCCCTTTGGGACCGTCTGTCCCTCACCCCGTGCAGCCCGTGTGTCCCTCCCGCACACCGAGCTGGCTGCAGCCGGCTCCACTCCCATCCCTGTTCGCTGCCTTGTCCCACAGGGACCCCAATTCCTCCCTTGGAACCCCTCCCTGTCCTCTTGGCTCTGCAGTTCAGCCCCTCCTCCAGCTTTTGGGGCTCCCCAGAGTCCTCAGCCCTGCAGTGAAACCAAACCCTCCCCATTCAACCGCTGGCCACATGAATTTCTCTCCAGTATCTCCCAGAGCTTCCCATTTCCCCCAGTGCACTGCAGAGCCCTCTGCTCTCTCCCAGCTCTCAGGATTGTGCAGGTGCAGCTTTCAGCGAGTCCCCCTTGGTCCCCTCTGGTGCCACCAAGAGTCCCCGGTCCCCCACAAGACTCGAATAAAACCGGGGGAAGCTGCTTCCAGCCCAGCTGAAGAGTGTTTCCATTTTTAGCTTCCCTCCTCATTTGGGGGTTGGAGAAACCTGGTCCAGTAGAAGGGATCTCTTCCATGGCTGGAGGGTAGAACAGGGTGGATTTTAAGGACCCTCCCAACCCAAACTGGTCGGGGATTCCATTATTTTGATATAGATGTAACAAAATGAGGTACCTGGGTCCTGATCCCAGGAGTATCCCTCCTGTAAACTGAAATTCCCTTTGCAGAAAGCCTGTGGGATGTAGATGATCCCAGCACACCTCAAGGGGTGGAGGAAAAAGCTGCTCTCAGGTGTTTTAGAGCCAGACCGAACCCCTGCTCCCCTCAGAACCGGGCTGGGGGCGAGTTCCAGCTCTGCTGCAGGCTCTGGGAGAGGACTGAGCTGTGGGAAAGGGATAGGGATGGATCTCCTGGCCCCGGGGCACGACAATGACCTGGGCTGCCCCTGTAATTTCCATTCCTGTGGGACCCCTTGGCCGTGCGGGCAGAGCCGGGAGCCGCCGATGGATCCAGCGCGGTGCCGGCCGTGGGCAGCTCCCGTTCCCGGGGGAGCGGGGACAGAGCGGGGACAGAGCGGGAGCCGCCGCCGCTGCCACTCCCAGGAGGAGCCTGGCAGGGGAATCGGCGCGGAGGGAGCGGAGCCATCGGCAGGAAAACGGGCTGGGAACACCCGCGGCACCGGGGATCCATCCCGGGCTGCAGACCCACGGTACCGCCCCACCTGCTGCTCTCAGCACAGCCGGCATTTCCGTGAGGGGATTTCTGAGATCGGGGCTACCCGGGGCTGCTTTCCCTGGGCAGATGCTGCTGTGCCGTCCCGCGGAGCTGCTGGGCACCCCCTGGGTGCTCCTCGCAGGTAAGGAAAGCCCGGTTGGGCTGGGATGGGCTGGGCTGGGCTCCTCACCCCTTCCACAGCCCTTTGGAGAGAGCGTGGGGAGCTCTGGGCAGGGCGTTTTGGGTGGGTAAAATGTTTAACGTGGAAGGCAAAGCTGTGTTTGCCCAAGGAGAGAGGTGGTGGAAGAGCCACGCACAGCTCCGGGGATAAAGTCTGCTCTAGCCAGATTTATAGTGGGGCTGATAGATGTGCTCACACAGAAATGTCGGTATATATGTTAATGTCTGTGTTTGTGTTAAAAATAGATATGTAAAAATATTTGATGTTTTTAAAAGCACAAATTTTGTTTCTGTTAAACTCGTGTGAGCATTTTCACTGTGCTCCCTTAAATAGTCACTGGCTGCTTTGAAACACAAACCGTGGAATAACAGGAGGGTTTGGGTTGAAAAGGAACCTTGAAGTTCCTCCCATTCCATCCCCAGGTTGCTCCAAGCCCATCCAGCCTGGCCTTGAACACTTCCAGGAATGGGGCAGCCACACCTGCTCTGGGCAACCTGTGCTAGATCCAAATACACAAAGATTTTCAGGACATCTAAAAAAGAAAGGAAGCCCATTACCCTACAGCTTGATTTTGGGATGATGTCAGTGAGCTCTCTGTCTGTAGGATGAGTTTTGGCCATTGCAGCTGCAAGAGATGAAGTGTTTTCCTCTTTTCTTCAGCTCATTGTTCTGTTTTCTGTAAACAGTGTTTTCTCAGCAGAAAAAGGAAAATTTTTCAGAGAATAAGAATTTTTAATCATTAAATTGTATTTTCTTCCTCCACATCTACAGTTTGGGGGGCAGGAGGGCATGAAAACAGCTGCCTTTCAAGGTTATAAGAGTGAGAAATTAAAATCACCTGATGAACTTGACTGTACCTGGATTGTCACACTTCTTTTCCCTCCCACCTGCGTTGCACCATCCCCAGTGGGAGCAGCAGGAGTTTCCAGGGCAGTTTGCCTGGCAGGTGCAGGGGGAACGCAGGTGAACAGGTGCTTATCAGGGCAGGCTGAGACAGGGCTGAGAGCAAACACAGCCTGTGAGGATCCCTGGCCTCTGCCCAGCTCTGCAGCCACAGGGGCTGGGGAGCCTCCCCTGCCTCTCCTCTCTCCTGGAATCACCTTCACTGGGGATGGGGTCTGGCAGCTGTGACCTTCCCACAGCAGCTCCCCCCTAAGTCCTGGAGCACCTGCCAGAGCCCAAGTTGTGACAAGCCCAGAAATTTTGGGCAGAAATCCTGCACTGTGGGGGGCACGTGGATGCCTTCAGCCCCAAACAAGACCAGGAATTTTGTGGCTGTCCCATTCCTGGGAGTGTTCAAAGGCAGGCTGAGCAGGGCTTGGAGCAGCCTCCTCTAGTGGAAGGTGTCCCTGCAGATGGCAGCGCTGGAATGAGACGGGCTTTGAGCTCCCTTCCAACCCAAACCTTTCCAGGGTTCTCTGAATTGGGAATGAGATGTGGAAATTAAGTCAGTACAACAAAAACTCGGGTAGGAGAAGCTCATTCCACTCCTCTGCCATGGGCAGAGACACTTTTCCCCAGAGCAGCCCCTCTCTTCCCTCCAGGGCTGCTGGTGTCGTTCCCTCCAGCTCTGGGAGCAGCGGGAGCTGTCCACAGGGCCACTGCTGTGGGATCCTCGGTGCTGCTCCCTGGGCCAGACAACGTCACCCACAGCAATTCCGTGTGCTGGGAATTCCTCAATGGCACCGGCCCCCAGCCCATCCTGCAGCACCAGGGCGGGCCCCACGCCCCAGCCATCCACGCTCCCTACACAGGACGAGCCGTTTTCCATCCATCCAATGGATCTCTGCTGCTGCAGGATGCCCAGGAAAGTGACAGTGGCACCTACAGAGTGACTGCCAACGCAGGAGACAGAAAGAGCCTGGAAATGCAGCTGGAAGTGCTCCGTGAGTGGAGGGTGTGGGAGGGAGGAGCGGGGTGATGGATCCAAGCAGAATCTCTCTGTACATGTACCAAGAGCCAGGGCAAAGGGGTTGGGGAGGGATTTGAGCAAAGGGCCAGTCCTGAGCTTGTTTGCACCTGTCAGGTGTGGAGACAGCAGCAAGAGATCTTGGAAAGAGGTTCCCAACCTGTCCTAGGGGAACAAATCTGGAAGTGCTGCCCAGTGAGAGCTTCCAGGGGCCTGGCTGGGACAGAGGGACAAGTTCCATCCTGGAAAGGCAATTCCATCCCTTGTTTCCCACACTTCAATGCAGGGATGGAGAGACTGGTGGGAGGATAAAGGGATGGCAGAGTGGCTGGTAGGATGATGGAGGGACCAGTAGGGTGAAGGGGCTGATGCAGGGACAGGTGTGAGGATGGAGGAACTGGGGAGGTGGTGGAGGAAGCAGAGGGACAACAGAGGGACTGGTGGGTTGCTGTGACTCTGCCACCTGCAGGATCCCTCCCCCCAGCACTTTGCCAGGGGACACCTGGCAGAGCCAATGGAGCTGAGGTTCCTGGAGAAGCCACCACCCCTCAAGGCCAGGCTGTCCTGTTTGCCCTCTGCAGGCACCAGCTGCCAACACAGAGAGAAGAGGC